ATCTGGAAAATTCTAAGAAATTAGTTGGGCTAAATGGTGTACTGCCATAGTTGGGTCTTGCAATTATTCCTCTTCGTAGATTAATATGTTAAAATCTGGATTGGCTGTTCTTTAGTCGTTAATTCTGGCGATAATATCATTATGTTTAGCTTAAAGTTGGTATGTTTTAAATTGGGCTAATTGAGTTCGTTTGTGGAATAGTTGTTAGGGGTAACATGGGAATTGTCTTGGCCTTCTATTTGTGGCCGCTGTTATTAGTATGGTTTTTGGTAGCTTTGTGAGAAGGGGGTACGGTGGCCTATGATTGGAAATGAAGATAATCTGGTGATAGAACTGTGATACCCGTGGAATTGCTAGTACCGGCGTCACCTTGAGCAGTGGGAGTGTAGCAAGGGGCGGTGGGAACGTTACTGGAGGCACGAGAGAACCGGTGAAGAGCAAACTTGAGTTGTACCCATTGTGTCCGCTAAACCACGAAGGACCAAGGGTGCGTGGTGGGAAACCCGTCATGGCAGCTCAGGCTCTTTGCAGGGTGTGGAAACAGAGTGGGAGCAAGGGTAGCTCGATACAGCAGTTAATGAATGTGGGAACAAAGCAATCGGCACTATAGTCAGGGTGAAACCCAGGGAATTTCTGATAGCGGCGCCATCTTGAGCACTATGAGCTTATAAGCGTATCAAGAGGCGGTGGGAACGCTATTAGTTAGATGCTATGAGAGAACCGGTGAGGAGCAAACTTGAGCTGTACCCATTGTGTCTGCTAAAACTATGAAGGACCAAGGGTGCGTGGTGGGAAACCCGTCATGGCAGATCAGGCTTCTTGCAGGGTAGTGGAATAGGGAGGGTAATAGGGTTACCTCTGCAGGTGTGATTAATTAACTGCTGTAGGATTGTTCTCTATTTCTGGGAGACAATATCACCACGTTCAGTTTGAAGTTGGCATGAGTTTCGGTGGAAACTTGGGATTGTTTGGGATTATTTAGTTTGCTTTCGGAATAATTTTAGGGTTAAAACTGTAAAATTCTTTGTGAATTGCCTTGCGCCTTTTTGAATTCTACAGATTATAACTTGTAGTTCTCTGCCAATAGTGTTTCGTCGTTAGAAACATGCCGGCGTTGCACTTCTCCTTCTGCGCTGCAAGGTTATCATGTTATAGGCTGAAGGACTGGAGAGGTTTATTATTGATTAGTTCAGCCGCCTTTTTCTGTGCTTCAAGGTTAGTTTGAGGAGTTTGTCCTATTGAGATTGGGCGGTCGTGGGACGCTGGACCCGGTTTCCAGCAGGCTTCATTTCGTTAACACCGGGTAGAAATTGTGAGGTCCCCGGCCTCGACCATTTTTGTTTTGAAATATGAAGTGACAACTTCTCAAAAAAAAAAAAAAAAACTCATACCCATGCAAAAAACAGAAATTCATTTCTAAAAAAAATACAGGTGAACTCATGGACCATATATCTCATGATAAAAAATGACAAAAAACAATTCCTGCTTTTCTTTAGATATATATATATATATTCTTTTTTCTTTAAATCCAATTTAGTTTTTGATTTTTAAAAAATCCTAAACAAAGTCGGATTCCAAAAAAACAAATATGGGGTTGTAGGGCTTAAAATTCCCCACAACCACTTTTTTTTTTTTAACCTATTATTTAATTCTGGAAAATTCCGGTAAAATCACGTCCGCGCTGCGGACGAGGCCAGCCGCGGAGGCGGCCGCATATGCGTCCGCCATCCGAGCTTGAACCCCCGGACGCGTCCGCGGGTGTTTCATAGCGCAGGAACCAAGCCCCAACAGGGACCTAAGACACCTCGGATCCCGCGCAGGCGATGCACGACCATGGCTGCTACCGCTGACGTCAATGCACAAGCCAGCCCCAAGAGGCCGGTTACCCCTCCTATCCCAGTTCAGCAGGCTGATGAAACGCTACTAGTGTTTCTCAAACGTCTCCAGCTCTACTCGGAGACCACTGCAGCTGAACTAAGCAATTGGGAGGAGGAGGAAGCCGCCCGCCAGCAGGCAATCCAACTCCAGCTGGCAGAGGCAGAGGCAGCACGTCAGTAGGCAGCAGCCGCACGGTTGCAGAAGCAGCAGGTCGAAGCAAGTCAGAACCAAGTTCGTTACCAAGCTACAATGGAGCTCGCCAACGAAGAAGCCACGTACCGGAGGTTACTCCGACATCAGCATTTTCGAGCAAATGAAGAACAAGAGGAGCCGACCGAGGAAGAGAGAAACAAGGAGCCCACAACAGTTTTGATGAAGAATCTGTTGTACACGTGCAATTGGCAGCAACGTGAACTGCTGGTCATGCGGCAGGTCTTCATCCGCCACGAAACAACGTTTAAAGCAATGGACAAGAAGATCGCTACCCTGCAGGCCGAGATCAGCACACTACAGGCCGCCAACAGCCAGCAACAGACAATCAACGACCAGCTGTAGTCCGATGTCAGCACGGGGTTGACACGACTATCGGCAGCTGCGTCGACGGGCAGCGCAGGGGCAGACTGCAGCCCAGCCTTGGCCGCACAGGCCAAGCAACTCGAAGAGCGGATCAACCACGTGGTCGCATCCCTCGGCGACATCAGCAAGTTTGTTGGAGCGTCGACAGTCAGCAATCAGCTGCAGACGCTCAGCGACCGCGTTCAGCAACGACCGGTTGCCATCGCCAAGGAATGGAAGATGCCGAACTTCAAGATCGAGAAGTTCGATGACTATCACAAGACTGATCCGCTGCAATTGTGGATGGCTTTCAACGCGGAGGCGGATGTACATCACTCTCCAGAACTACGGCGGCTTGACGCACTCTACCTCCAACTCATCAGAGGGGTGCAGGCTTTCAAGACCCACATGGCCGTCACATTGGAATGCACCATCGCTACCCTCCACACCAAGATTACGTGGGAGGAATTCGAGAAGAAGTGGAAAACCCGGTTCGTGGTCAACAACGACAAGCGTCACGCCTTGAACAAAATTTTCCGCATGTTTCAAGGACAACAACCTTCACAGCAGTGGCTGACGAAGTGGCAGAAACTCGTCGCCAACCCGGAGTTGAACTTACCATTCGACGCAATCCGGGACGAATTTTTCGCTCGGTCATGCGACGCCTTGACAGCTGCGTTGGGCAGCGAATTCCAGTATGAGACCTTTGATGACATGATCTCAGAGGCAAGATAACTAATCCAAGGTAACCGGCGCGCGGCCAACGAGGTCCGCCAACAGCCCGGTTATGTGGAGAAAGGCAAAGGTCAACGGACGCCGCAAGTAGCAACAGTCCAACAAGGACCTAGCGAGGACCACGCAACCGCGTCTACATCAAGTGACGGAGATGTGGCGGCGGTGATACCACCGCAACGCTCAAGACCCCGAGGGGGAAAACAAAAGGCGAAACGAGCGTCGGCGGATGGAGCACGACAGGCACCATGGACAAAGTTCGGCAATACCGAAGACATGTTCAAGTTGTGACAGAAATGGGGATGTTGTTTTTGGTGCAACAACACCAAATACATCACCAGCGCATGCCTCGACAAGGACAAGGAGAATGTCAAACGTCCAAGCTTGGGAAACTGAGCACCGCAGGAAGTGCAGCGACATCACTTCCCAATCCGTCGGAGTCGGCTGCCTTGCTAGCAGTCTCTCTCACATCCGGGGATGACACAGTAGTCACAAGTTCTCGTATCGATTTTGAGAACTATGTTGTCGAGTTGGTCCCACCGTTGAACCAGCCTCTTCACGTGCAAGATTCAAGCGCATGCGCGGTAGGTCCGTCGTCAGACAACGAACCGGTTGCTTCGTCAGCCCTTCTATCGGAGGATCCGTCAGTCTTGAGGAACTCAACCCATTGACGATTGAGGACTTCCAATGGTTGCCTCTTCCCTCCACTGTTTTTTTGCCAACCCCGCATTGCAACGCCTTAATGGCACATTTGCACGAATACTTGCACGTTGCAGTACCACCTCCATCAACGGACGGCGGAGTAGCGATTATTGACCTTCATAGCTATCTTGCGAAGATCGACCACGAGCATGCAACGCAACGGTACGTCGACATCGACGCGCCGCTTGGCCCACGCGTTCGAAGCAAAAGTCAGCCTACTCACGTCACGTTGGCCGATGGTCACACGCAAAAGTCAATCGACCAATGCGTTGACTCGATGCCTGTGTACTTTGCCCCGCTAGCATGCGAGGCCGTGTCATTTGACATATTGGACACTAAGTTCAATATGATCTTAGGCATGTCATGGCTGCAAAGCGAAAACCATCCGGTGAACATCTATCGACGCACCGTTCACGTTCGTGACCGGCGTGGCGAATTAGTCCCGTGTACGGTGCCGCTTCCTCATCCTTCGATTGGTTGTCATGTGGTCTCCGCGGCGAGCATTTGCCAATCCATCCGGCGGAACGACATCGAGGAGATGGGCATATGTTTTCTTCACGCCCTCCCACCCGATAATCAGCCCAAGACGGATACGTCAGACCCACGCATCATTGAGTTGTTGGACAGCTATGAGGATGTCTTTTAAGCTCCCGCCGGAGTAGTACCAGATCGGCCCATACGCCACGGGATCACTCTCGAGGACGGCGCCGTACCTCCGCGCGGATGTATCTGCCGCATGAGCGAAGAGGAGCTTCAAGTGCTTCGGACATAACTAGACGACCTCTTGGCCAAGGGTTGGATTCGCCCTAGCTGTTCGTCATACGGTGCTCCCGTTCTCTTCGTCCGGAAAAAGAACAAGGACCCTCGTTTGTGCATCGACTATCGGAAACTTACCGCTCAAACGATCAAGAATGTCGGCCCTCTCCCTCGGATCGATAATCTTCTCGAGCGACTAGGCGACGCCAAGTACTTCTCGAATCCGGCTACCACCAGATCGAGATCCAGCCAAGAGATAGGTACAAGACCGCGTTCAAGACGCGATATGGGCACTTTGAGTGGATCATCATGCCTTTCGGTCTCACCAATGCCCCGGCTACTTTCCAAGCGGCTATGGCGACAGAATTTCGCGACTTGCTCGACCACACCGTACTCATCTACCTTGATGATATCCTGGTTTATACTCTGATGCTGGACAAGCACCTCGAGCACCTTCGCGCCGTTTTGGAGCGGCTTCGTATCGCCAAGTACAAGGCGAACCTCGACAAGTGCGAGTTTGCCCAGCAAGACTTGGAGTACTTAGGCCACTACGTGATGCCGCAAGACATTCGTCCGCTCGCGGACAAAATACAAGGCATTCAAGATTGGCCGGACCTCAAGTGTACTACCGTCGTCCGCTTCTTTTTGGGCTTAGCATCATATTACATGCGCTTCATCAAAGGGTTTCAACGGATCGCTGCACCATTGTCGCGACTTCAGTCCCCCTTGGTGCCCTTCAAGTTCAGCGGTGAAGCCCGGCATGTGTTCCACATGATGAAGACAACTTTGCTTCAAGCTCCCGTCTTAAGCATCTATGACCCGACCTTGCCTACCAACGTGACTACGGACGCTTCCGACTACGGCATTGGCGCGGTTTTGGAACAGCATGACGGCACAAACTGGCATCCGGTTGAGTACTTCAGCCAGAAGGTGCCGCCCATCAACACTCTTGATGATGCGAGGAAAAAGGAACTCCTAGCTTTCGTCACCGTACTTAAGCGTTGGCGTTATTTCCTCCTCGGGCGTCGACGATTCACGTGGGCAATGGACAACAATCCGTTGACTTATTACAAGATGCAAGACATGGTGAGCAGCACAATCGGTCGGTGGATGTACTTCATTGACCAGTTCGACTTCACCTCCAAACACATTCCGGACTCCTCGAACAAGTCAACGGATGCTCTCTCACGAAGACCAGATCTTTGCGCCTTGGTGCACTCCACATTCAGCCTCGACGAGGACCTGCAACAGCATTTCGTAAACGGCTACAAGTCGGATCCAGGATCCTCCACACTCTATGCGGACTTATCATCGGATCATCCGTCGACAAGCAATTATCACATTGTCGACGGCTACTTGCTCCTCCATACACGAGGCAAGGACTTGTTGTGTGTTCCCCAAGACCGCATCTTGCGCACTCGCCTCCTTGGCGAATACCACGATTCACGGCTGGCGGGACACCTTGGCGTCGCGCACACTTGCACGACTCCGCCACCGATTTCACTAGTCGGACATCATCAGCGATAACAACCAGTACATTCAGTCATGTGCAGTTTGCAACCGGAACAAAGGGCGCCATCAGCTCCCGTACGGCGAACTGGAACCATTGCCGATTCCTCGGGAACCAGGTCTCTCCATTGCTATGGATATGACCAGTCCTTTGCCTCGCGATCGCCTTGGCCATGATGGTCTTCTCACAGTCGTTGACCGTTTGAGCAAGTACGCTCAATTTCTTCCTTGCAAGTATCATGCGACGGCTCCTGAGCTCGCACGACTTTTGCATACTGGCTGGTTTTGCATCCACGGCGTTCCAGAAGATATCGTTAGCGACCGCGACACTCGTTTCATGTCAGCCTTTTGGACGACACTCATGGTGGAATCCGACACCAGCATGAAACCGAGTTTCGCACGGCATCCTCAAACGGATGGGCAAACGGAACGTGCGCACCACACTGCGTAGATGATGCTCCGCACACTCATCCGCCCGGATCAGAAGGACTGGGTTGACCACCTTCCCGACATCGAGTTCGCTTACAACACTTCGGTGCACCCGACGATTGACGTGACTCCATTCGAGTTGCACCACGGTGGACGTAAAGGACGTATCTTCGCAGACATTTTGCTTCCACGGGTTGCCGATATCGATGTCGCTTGCTCCCCCGCTTCTACATGGAAGTACAGGGAACTGTTGGCCAAAGCCCGCGCAAACATGCAAAAGGCTCATGTCTGTATGTAGCAGCAAGCGAATCGGCATCGCCTCCCATGTCCATGTCCAATCCACGCTTGCGACCTGGTTTGGGTCACCTCCGAGGAATTTACGCTCGAGCAGCACGTCTCGCGCAAGCTCCTCCTTAAGTGGTTTGGACCATGGAAGGTCACTTCAGCACCTAGCAATGACCCCGCGGGTCCGTCTTTCATCATTGAGATTCCCCCGCATTTGACAGTCCACCCAGTATTTCACGCCTCAAAGTTGGCGGTCTACACTGAGTCCTCTTTCTCCTTTTGCCTTTCTTCGTTGGCGGATCCATAGGGACGTTGTACACGACCTCCTTCCTGCCCAGCTTTTCGTTGTCGATGTAGGCAACCCCGGGCTTCACATTTTTGACTTTCTTCTTCTGCATGATCCACTTTGCGCCGTCGTGGCCGAGCAATCTACCTGTCTCTCATTTCTCAAAAAATTCGACGGCCAGTTTCCAGACGTTCTTTCCTCCCATCGGCCCATCGCCAGTGGGAAATAGGAACGCAAGGCAGCGCTTTGCTTCTTGATGGCGTCCTCGCCCTTCTGATCCGCCAGAATCCACAAGTTGTTGTGCGGCGTCATATTGAGCGCGACCGTACAGAATTCACGCCATTTTTGGACCTGATCCTGTTTTCTGCTGGGGTTCCTCATAACAGCTCTCGGGCAACCGTCGCGCTTTCACTGCCACCGAATGTCTTTCATTGACAGCTTCAGCTGTCTTGGGGGCGCCTTCAGGTCCTTCTTGTTGTCCTGGGAGCTGACAAGGAAGTACCCTTCGAAGTCGTCCTCCGAAAAGTACACCATTCGTGCAGGCCACTGCTCAAAATTGTATTTCCTGGCCACCTCGCTATCGAGCAGCGACCTCGCTGCAGCCGCGTTTTGCTGCCCACACACCGCGTAGTAGTAGTATTGTCACGCCAGCTCATCCCTCCAATCCTCCGGCCTCAGACGTTGTGCCTTGGTCCCGAGAGTCGGTTTATCAAGCCCCAGCGGTGCGAGCTTCAGGGTTGGCAACTCGTACGACTGCTCTTTGTTTTCGAACGCCAACCGCATCGCTTCTTTGATCCTTTCCACGAGCACGGGATCCAGGGACCGCTGGTTGTATAGGTCCTCCCACTCCCCGAGGTCGACGACCTACGCAGGGCTAATCTCGAATTCCTGCTTTGTCCGAACACCGTCTTCGTACTCGAGGAAGTACCCGGCGTCGACGTCGATGGGAGGCCGTGGCGTCTGTGGAGTGGATGGTCCTGACGCAGCCTGTTTATGTTTCGAAGCCGGACGTTTGGCACCCTGCCGGCCCTGCTCTCCCTCGGTCCCCTTGCGTTTCTCCCCCGCAGTCCTCGGGGCCTTGCTCTTCAATTTCTTCGAAGAACCGGCCAACTCGTCTGTACGATCTCCCCTCCTCTTCTATGGAGTGCCTTGCGTGCCCAGGCCGCCCGCGGTTCCCTCCTTCGCACCCTGGCCCTCGCTCGTCTCCAAGTTGACCTCTGTAGAGGCTGCCACCTTTCCTGCAGCTCCCGCACTCTCCTCTCGAACCGGAGCGTCAGTCAGGACCCCAAGAATAGACAACACAGACCGATGCGTGTCCCTCAACGGCGGAGTAGGCCCCTCATCCTCGTTGTTGTTGAACTGACCTCGGCTCTCGCCACGGTGCAGCTGAGTAGCGGGACCAGAACCCAGATCACCGCCCTCCGCCGCTGCCCCGCTTGACTCGCAACCGCCGCACAACCTTAACGGCAACGAGAGCTCATGGGAGGGGTCGACGTCGCAGGGGACGTCGAGAACGATGTTCTTGTCCTCCAACATGTCGAAAAATTCACGCGCCAAAACAAAACCGCCCCCGAGAACGAGTTCTCTGTAGAATGGGGTGTTCACAGCACCCGCTCCGAACCCCTCACACAATTCGGGGTCCAACAGCGCCCCTTTCAAATTGACAACGACGTTGCCCTTGGCGCCATAAACGTTTTGCACATACAAATGTCGTCGGCCCCCCTTCACGTCCTCCCACCGCAAGACGCCCGCAAGCACTCTACGCCTTTTGTTGTCATCGACAAAGATGCCAGGACCACATGGTTGCGCAGTGGGGTTGGAAGCGTCTCCACAGCACCAGTCGCTGAACCATTTCGACTTCGAATGGTTCGACCACGATTTGATGGCAGTAGACGACCGCCTCGTGGAATCTTTTCCTGATTCCCTCCCCGAGGTCCCTGTTGGCTCCCCCTCGCCCCTCGATGAAGACATCCTATCTGTGAATGACAACGCAAATCAAAAAACGCACCATGCAGTCAACGTCTGACAAAACACAGCAGCAACAAAACAGTCGCTGCCACACCACAACGCAGGCTCTGCCACAGCGAAATCCGCACTCAAAGACCCTCCGGCACCCCAATTCGGTAGGGTGAGAACGTGAAGTCCGCCGAGATCCGAACTTCAAGAGGGTACGAGAGCGAGAGGCAGAGACAAAGAGAGAAGCGAGTGAAAACTCGCAGTGCACCGGGGATCAAGGGCTGTTTATGCGGTCGACGGGGCACCAGGAAGACCACAGACATACCAACGCACAGCCTAAAACGAGCCGGGATCCGAACTAAAGGACGGTGCGTTAGAGAGAGACAGTGAAAGAGACACAAGATCCGCAATTCCGTGGATGTTAAACTCGACGAGGATCTAGGAAGTCCACACTCACATCAGAGGCCACCTCAAAATTAGAAGTCCGCCGGTATCCGAACTTCGTCTGCTGTCCATTGTGGCGCTCTGTGTACTCAGGCACCCGATGAAGCCAAGTTGAAAGCAGGAGCCTGGTCAGCATGTTCTGTGTACCTGTTCGGGCAAACAGAGAAGTCCGGATTCGGGCGAACTAGGGTTGTTGCTGCAATCGACGGGGGATCAGGAAGACTAGCGCCAGCTGAACGGGCAGAAGAAAACGCGAAGTCCGCTGGGATCCGAACTTGAGGAGGCTTCTCGAGAGAGAGACATAGAGAAAAACCGGATCCGCACTTGTGCTGTTTTCGAAACCCAAATGCAGGTGAATCCATACGGAAGTCGGAGATCAGATGGAAATGCGTGGTCCGACCAAGGGGCACAAGGAAGACCACAGTCAGATCAAAGGGGAAGTGGAAAGGCGAAGTTCGCCGGGATCCGAACTATGCAAGAGAGAGATAGAGATAGAGAGATAGGATCTGCACTTCCGTGTTAGGTGAAATCCACAGCGCAGCAGGAAAACCACCGTGTCGTTGGAGGCAAGACGACAACACGCAGTCCGCCAGCACCCGAAATTGTTCTGTTGTCCTGTTTCGCAATATGTTAAGTCCGGAAGTGATGTTCGGATCCAGGCGGGCCAGAGAGACGCTGCATGAAAGGTGGAAACCTTAAGTCCGCCGGGATCTGTACTTCACGAGGGCGCGCGAGAGAGAGAAGGGCACCCCTTCTGTACTTGCGTGTCCGGTGAAATGTACTGCGCAGTAGAAAAAACACTCTGTCGTTGGAGGCTAGACGAAAGTGAGTTTCAGTGGATTGGTCGGGGTTTGCACCAAAAGTGCGCGGTGTAGTGTCTACTTGCAACTACTGCATCTCACATCTCCCTTCACTACTTCATATCCACCATTTTCGGCTACACACATGCCTCTCACACCTCTCGCTCCTTTACCCTTAAACACGGGGTCTGACAATCCATCTGGATCTAGTGGCATTAGGGGTTCCCCGCGGACGAGGTCGTGAACCGAAGTCATACACAACATTCATTGATGATCCGTATACATGGATCTGCGGTTCCTCGGCTGCAGCGTTCTTTGAAAAGACGGACATATATTTCATCCTGACAAACACTTCCGGCCGTGCCAAGGAGTTCCCTATACAGCCTCATATGTCAGACACTTTTTCTTCCACCTCACACCACAGCGAAAAGTCTTTGACCTGGCCTGCTATTACCAAATCTGGCCACCCATCTACACCACGACGCCCACGCACAGACACGAACTTGGACCCCTCAATTACCACCTCGTTGCGTGACACACACACGACTGCATCGACGAGTTTCCTACATTTGTCCGAAGTGGCGACACATAACACTCTGGCGAAATCAGATCCGGACACAGTCAACCGCACACAACAGTACGACACAGCATGTGGAGAAATCTCGGGGCAACAGAGTGGGTACTGCTTCAAGAATGAACACTGACGAGCGCAGTCCACCAACTCTTGTTTCCGTGAACTTCCCCAAGTTCGTGGCGAAGACCTGATATAGTGGCAGACGAGGCGACTAAAATGGCGGTTGATGTAGCGGAGTGTTTTGCGCATACGGTTCAGGAACTTGTACTCAAGGACACCATCAGGCAGTGCAATGAGGTTCCCGAACTCTAACATATTGGCAAACTTGTAGTGGCTCGCCCAAAGGCAGTCACTCTCCATCGAGTCCCAATTACCCTCGCACCAATTGTCAAGATGCCGGTTCAAGTACGGGACGACGGTCATCCACGGGTGCTCTTCGAAGTCCTCTCTGGTTGCTCCATGGATTGAAATATAACCGTCACAACGCCGCACCGATTTGGCACAAGGAGGAAACGGTTCTGCTAAACGCATGTGCGTCTCGGGACTCATGCTCATGCTTGTCGACGCTGTCAACGACACTATGCACCCTACACATCACACACACATATTACACGACACATACGGACATGTAGGCACTCGTCAACAAAGTTGGCAAGCGATAACTCCCGTGGTGACGGCAATACCCACTCGTCACAAATGCATAAGCACAAGGTCGTGCAGCTCCGCCCGATGTGTGCATGCAACTGCCTTTTTTCCCCTTGATCAAACGACATTTTCGCCCTTCCTGACTCGCACTGATGGTGTATGCCTATGTGAGCAGAATTATCTATGACACGTTTAATATCGGGATTCCTGAATACCCAACAAATGACGACTGGAAAATTTGCAGTCTTTCTAATCAAATTGTTCGGAGTCAAGGCTGAACAAATCGTTCGAGGTCAGACGGAAATGCGGGTCCGATCCAGGGCCACAAGGCAGACAGCAGTCAGTCCAAAGGGCATGTGGAAACGCGAAGTTCGCCGGGATCCGAACTCAAGGGTGGTGCGAGAGAGTCATAGAGAGAGAGAGACGGGTTCTACACTTGCCTGTTTGGTGAAATCCATTGCGCCGGAGGAAAAGCACGACGTCGTTGGAGGCTAGACAAAAATTAGTAGTCCGCCGGCATCCGAACTTGTTTTGTTGTCCGGTTTCCCAATGTGTTAAGTTATGGAGCGGATACAGCCGACATTCGGCAGGTGGCCTCGAAGAACCATTACGGTTTGCACGCCGGGAAAAAAGCGAAGTTCGGATCCGGGCGAAGTTGTGTTCTTGTTGCAATCCACGGGGCGCCAGAAAGACAACAGTCAGAACCTGCATCACGGGAAAATGCGAAGTTTGCCAAGATCCGAACGTAACGAGTATGCGAGAATTCACGAGGCACCTGGTCGACCACAGTAAAAAAAGAGGTCCAATGAGAAGGCGAAGGCCACATGGTCATCCGCAACTCAAGAGCGGTGCGAGAGAGTCATAGAGAGAGAGACGGGTTCTGCACTTGCGTGTTTGGTGAAATTCACTGCGCCGGAGGAAAACCACGACGTCGTTGGAGGCTAGACAAAAATTAGTAGTCCGCCGGCATCCGAACTTGTTCTGCTGTCCGTTTTCTCAATGTGTTAAGTTTGGGAGCGGATAGAGCTGACATTCGGTGGGCAGCCTCGAAGAACCATTACGGTTTGCACGCCGGGGCAAAAACCGAAGTTCGGATCTGGGCGAAGTTATGTTCTTGTTGCAATCCAAGGGGCGCCAAAAAGACAACAGTCAGAACCTGCATCATGGGAAAATGCGAAGTTCGTTGGGATCCGAACTTAACGAGTGTGCGAGAATTCATGAGGCACCTAGTAGACCACAGTTAAAAAAGAGGTCCGATAAAAAGGCGAAGGCCACATGATCATCCGCAATTCGCATGCTGTCCTATTTTGCGATATGCGACGTTTGCTCTTAGACGCGGCTAACGTTCGAAGAACTGATTCGAGCAGGCATGTTCGGTGAATCCTTTTCGGTATACCGTGAAGTTCGGATCCGGGTGGACTTGACTATTTTTCAAATCCGAGGTCCACCAGCCGAGCCACAAACGTGTCGTATGAAAGGTGAAATTGTGAAATTCGCCGGGATCCGAACTTCGCGAGAGTGAGTGGGAGAGAGAGACAAATGTTTGTCAAACTAGCAGCCCCGCACTCTCTTGAAGTCCGGATCCCGGCGGACTTCACATTTTCACAAATGTTCTGGTGCGGCTGTGGTCTGGGGTTGCACCGCATATACGAACAACAGCACAAGTTCGCCCGCATCCAAACGTCACGTGTTCTCCAAACTGGGCATCGAATCACAGTTGTTGGCCATGTCTACCTCCAAACTTAACATGTCGCGAAACCAGACAGCGGAAGAAGATCGGATTCCGACGAACTTCAAGTATTCGACCGACCGTCATCGGTCCTTTGATGCGCCTGCGGATTTCGACATAAGTAATCAACGGGCGCATCAGAGGACAGATGAGAATGCGAAATTCGCTGGAATCCGAACTTCTTTCGCTGTCCGGTTTCTCCAACTCGACATGTCAGGGGATATGTGAAAATACGAAGCCTGCCGGGATCCAGACTTCAACAGAATGTGGGACTGGTGAATTGACTGAGAGTTGGAGAGAGAGGTGGAGGAAGAGATGGAGAGGAATAGAGAGAGATCGAGGAAGATGAGTGGAAATTTTGGATGACGCCGCCGGCATCTGGACTTCGGCCACTGAGCGACCTCAATAAAATGTGTACGTCGCATGTGATGGGATGGAGTGAATGGGATGGTGTGAATGGGATGTGACGGCGATGCAGGTTGTGGTGGCCGAACAATGTTCATTGCACAACAAGTTTCGATGACCAACGAGGTTCGACGTCCACTTACATTCGATGTCCGACAAGGTTCGACGTCCAACGAGGTATGCCCGACAAGGTTTGATGTTGAACAAGGTTCAATGGATGACAAGGTTCGATGTGGAACATGGCTGTGACGATGGTGTGTTTTGTCCTTTCGCTAGTTCTGACCCTGCACAACAGGGAAAGGGATCGTCCTGCACTCGTTTCGATTGCGAAAGTGACCAATCGACTAATCGATTGCCTGCGATCGATGGATGTGTTCACTGGTCGATCGAAGAGCAATCGAATCGCACTGCGCATGTGTTTTGCCCATTCACTCCTTTCGATCGCGGGAAACTCTTCATTCGACCAGCGAACAGATCGATCGCTTGTCGGAAAACAATCAGTCATTCAAACCCGTACAGACGTTGAATCTACATTCAATATCTGGTAATTAATAAACTGAACGTTGGCCGGCGAGCAACCGATCTGTCCCTTTCGCGAATGCACAACTGAATGGGACTGATTGATGGACTGCTCGGTTGGCGGTTGATTGACTTCGACCAAACAGTCGATTGCTCAGTACATCCGCCAGAATCGACTGATTGATTGACTTCTCCGTTGGCGGTTGATCGACTGCTTGATCAGTTGATCAAGTGAACGATCTGCTGATTGGTCGCGCGAGGGGTGCTGACACGAACTGCCCGCTATTGAAACGAGCGAAACACAAAAGCGGTGATAATAATGAGACAGCACACAAACGCACACATACACACACACACGCACATCCCCGCGTTTTGTTTTCATGTTGCGATTGAAACCAGCGAAACACACACGAGGTGATAACATCGGGCCAGCTTACGCAATCAATCGACCGATCGCGAGTAATCTGTTTGTGTTTCACGATTGGTCGATTGATCGAGTGTGTTGTCTCGACATTACCACCGCGTGCTTTGATTA